CGTTCACAATAGGTGAATAACAGTCAACAGCGTCGAGTGTAAACTTAAAGTCGGACCCTTTGAAGGACGAATCCGACAAAACTTTAATCTGTAAATCACCCTTCTCTTGTTCGGTATCACGTCGACAAACTCAAAAGCAACTGGGCGTTGTTTATCAAAATATTCTTTCGATTCCGTGAATTTCTTCGAGTGAAAACAAACAAATTCAATTCTTTCTATACAGAAATATGCTAATACATAGAGCTCCTTTTCGTAGAAAACAACTCGTGCTATTGAGTCACTGCTTGTTGGAAGTTTGCTTTCATATTAAACTTATATAGCAATATTTACATATATCTATGGATATAACCTTCAAAATACTGTCGCAATCTCAGCAAAAATTACAACCGAATTCTGAAAGAATTGTACGAATGTTATATGAAAGCGTGCTGTGAATAATAAAAAACCCAAATTGGGTTGAGAGCATCGAAGGAATTCCTAAAAATAAAAGAATGGCTCCTAGAAAACTCCTTACATCTTACTATAAATCTGAACTCGAAATGAAAATATTGGATCTTATAGGTTGATTCTCCAATCTCGGCCTCCTCTTGAACATTCCGAATGCTTGAGACTTTGATATACAGAATATATTATGCGAAAAATAATATTCCAATGCGCAGATTTTTTATACCAATGCATAGATTTATTTACTCGAAAATAGGCCACATAGATTCAACTCAAAATGTACATTTTCACCCACTGTCAATAGAAATGTAGTGATTGTTCAGATTCGCTATATAAATCTTTACTGACGTTTTGCTGATGTCAACAACAAACAATAAAAATTTGAAACACCATCTAAATTCTAAGATGACCATTGAAGTTTCGAAAGGATTGTTCTTGTTCATGGTTAAAGCAGTACGTGGAGCGTGGAACGAAAAAACTCCACCCACATTTCAGCTTAGTAGGAAATGAAATAATTGAAAGTAATGGCTACCTACGCTGCGTGAGTCATAACAACAGATATATAGTTATTATTTCAATACCTTATAAAAATTTGTAAAAATATTTATTTTTAAACTCGTACTTTTTGTCAGGCGTATACTAGAAATTAGTGAGATGAATTTTAAGGCATTCCACCAGGCAAGCTTGTTTCATATCTAGTGTTAGTCAAAATATATAAGAATTCCAAAATTGATTTAGATATATTTGGGTGAAGGATTTGGTAGGAGAAGATGATATATATCGCAGCCGATATATATATATATTTTCATTATTGGGGGGTTGTGTTTCGAAATTTAGAGGGTGGTAAATATTTTGCCAATAGCGATGAAACTATTTGCAACTTATAAAAATGTGTTATGTATATGACAGACCATCTACTCTACACTGATAAATATGCCATTTTCTGAATATTCAAAGACAATTTTACCGAAGTTAGGTATTGAAGTCTGGCATCACATCTGGGGAATGTAGGGAAATCACTAGGGTTGCCTATTTGGGAAGCTAAAGAACATAAACGAAAGCTGTCAATGATAAAAGCTAATTAAATAAATCATATCTTATTCACTTCTAATACAAGGAAGAACAATCTACTTGCGAGCATTGATATGAGGAATACAGTCATGTTTCGCTGACGTATAATACTCACATATACGTACTGACTTACGTGATATTGATGAAATCCAAATTTCAAAATGCAAGTAGTGTGGGTACATGTACTCGAAATGCTGATTGCATTCGCAAATTATCAAAAACAACAGTAAAGTCTGTGAAAAAAATCTCTGTGGTAAATAATATGTCGAACTATCGATTTCTTGTAAAATTTAAAAAAAAAAAATTTAAAAAAAATAAATAAAATTTTCAAAATCAAAAATAAACCGAAAATAAAATAAAAGAGTAATGAAAAATAAAAACAACTGTAAAAATACAAATCAAAAGACTAGAAAAGAAAACACGACCTTTTTTATCAGCTGTTTTATATTGTAATTTTTTTTTTTAAACCGATGCGAAGCCTGTTGCCTTTTATCTCTCGCTAAACCTCCAATAACAATCATTTTTCAATTATTTTAACATACGTCGGTCAGTAAACATACGTTTTTTGAATTTAAGTATGTCAACTCAGTTGTCAATTTTCTACTAAAGTCAGTACATCCTTATGGTTGTTTCCAATCAACAGATGCACAAAACTTAACTACGACATTGCATGATTTCCTAAACACGAAATAAATTACCACTCTGCATCACTCGGCTCAAAAAAGAAGATTTAAACTCTCATATATATTGCTCAATACTCAAATATATAAACACATACAAAATATACCATAAAAAAAAAAAAATAAAAAATTTTAAAATCAAAAATAAACCGAAAATAAAAAAGTAATGAAAAATAAAAACAACTGTAAAAATACAAATCAAAATATAAAAAATGAAAATTAAGAAACGCGCTTAAAATAAAAATGGCGTTTTTCAATTATTTTGACATACGTCGATCAGTAAACATACGCAAAATCATAAACTTAATGACTAACACACGGTTGACGCACAGAACAATGCGATTAATCCCCCGATACCGGAAACAATATTAGATAACAACTTCCCACGCACCACCATTGCCCAACACCATTGCCCAACATAATTTTGCTCAACATTTTGCAACAACATTTATGTGTTGGATTCGACATGATATACTACTACCGTTCCCACAGCCACCATATGCGGCGCTGTGTTCTTGTCCACAATTACAACATCTTGGAGTTTCGGAATCACATTTATTATATTCGTGGTTTCTACCGCACTTGGCACAGCGAACTTTACATCGACAATTTTTAGCTACATGGCCAAATCTATTGCAATTAAAACAACGAATCGTGGAGGGTTATACACTCTGGTCCTGAATCGCATATAGCCGATAGTCATGATAGATGGTACAATGCATGTGTTAAAACAAATCAGAACTTATTTACTCTGCACAAACTTGCCTTCGATTTTTCTATTAAGCCTTTTTACAAAGACAACACGTTGTCCAGATAATGCGTCCAACAATTCATTATCCATGTCAATTGGCCATGTCAATTGGCACATCGCTAATTACTACTCTAGTATTTTGATCATTGTTTACAAACAATTCGGTCTTCACTAGAATGTTGGTTGTGCTATCGCCGATATCATCATATTCCAACAATAGTTTAACTTGCTTTTCGTTTGAACATTCAATTTTCAAATCCCCAGAACCAAGCACACGTACCGATTTTAGTGTTCCAAACTTCTGCACCAAATTTCTATGTATAACTATAGGATTGTACGTTCTCATCTTACGCTGGGTACCCCGTACAACAACGAATGTAGATATAACGTCATTTTCTTGACTTATTGTGTCAATTTTTACTTTACTTTGAGCATTAGAATTACTATCGTCCCCCTTCCTTTTCACTCCGGAAGAAGTTGGCGATTCATCGCCGTCCATCTTATAACATAAAACAGCTTTATCCGTAATAAACGTTCACTCTCCAAAAGAAAATTTGTACTGGATTTCAGTCAATTGCACTTTATATACAGCAATATATACAGATCGAATATTAAGAAACGATCTCACCGTATTAATGTAGTGTTGTATCCAGTTTAATCCACAAAACAGAAAATAGTTTGTATCCAGGTTTATGCTCACAAAGACGTCCGCACTGCGCGACGTCGCGTTGTCGAGGGAGGGTACATCATAATAGTTTAGTTATTGTTAGATTCATTTAATGCCGGTTTTATCAATTTTTATCACTGATATGTTAACAGTTATTTTTATTTTATTCGTGCTTTGGCGGGTCACGAATAAAACGCGGTGGGTCACTAAGTGACCCGCGGGTCAGTGGTTCGCCATCCCTGCTATAGGTAAGGATGCCAAGTATGAGTACTTACAAGTATTCGATTCTTATCCGATTCCTAAATTTTCGATTCCGAATCTCGATTCCTCGACATATTACCGAAAAAATATACCCACCCAAGCAATACTATATAAAATCAAGCAAGACAGCGATGTTCAAAGTCTGGACGGACAAGAATGCCGAAACTAAGTAGTATGGGTATCCAATCTGCCACATGAGACAAAACCGCACAAAAAAAACGAATCCCTCAGAACCCACAGAGATTTTTAAAATAAATAAACGTTAAAGCCTACTAGCGATATTTATAATATATATATTATATATAGTGAAGTTTGCGGTGTCGTAGCAACTCAACATAGCAGTGAAGCAGTTTATACATATATATATGTGAAGAAATTGCCACAAAACGTTACACATTGTTTGCAATCCAAGTTTCAAACTCGAGAATCGATTCCGGTGCATCGGAATCGATTCTAGTCGATTCCGCGAAGAATCGATTCTGTAATCGAATCCGGACTCGATTCCGCCATCCCTAGCTATAGGCAGTCGTTGGCTATAGCCTATTACGAGCGTTTCATTTAATTTGAACACTTTTCATTAACCAAAAAATATGTAGGCGGATTTTTGTTCACTTTGTCGTTTCACGAGCGTTTCAATTTATTTGGACACTTTCATTAACCAAAAAATATGTAGCCGGATTTTTGTTCACTTTGTCGTTTCACGAGCGTTTCAATTTATTTGGACACTTTCATTAACCAAAAAATATGTAGGCGGATTTTTGTTCACTTTGTCGTTTCACGAGCGTTTCAATTTATTTGGACACTTTCATTAACCAAAAATATGTAGGCGGATTTTTGTTCACTTTGTCGTTTCACGAGCGTTTCAATTTATTTGGACACTTTCATTAACCAAAAAATATGTAGGCGGATTTTTGTTCACTTTGTCGTTTCACGAGCGTTTCAATTTATTTGGACACTTTCATTAACCAAAAAATATGTAGGCGGATTTTTGTTCACTTTGTCGTTTCACGAGCGTTTCAATTAATTTGGACACTTGCCATTAACCGAATTTGTCGACAATATATAGCGAACCATTATGCCCGGAGGAAGATAGAAAATGGTTCAAATTTTTGAACGGCAAAAGGGAGCTTTTTTCGAGACTCTGATGTTAGAACCTGACATTCAAGCTGTAAAATTCGACAATACATCTAATTGGCGGTTAATCAAATATTTGGCGATTATAATTACATGGACAAAGTTTTGTTAAGCAAAAAATTAATATAATATATTAGGATGTAATAAAAATTAAACATTGACACCGAATCTTATATATTTAAATCTCAGACAATTTTAAAACTTGGCTAGGAATACCAGTAATTGACGGATTTAATTTATTATGGATTTTGTTCAATTCTCGGTAGGAAAATTTCTGATGATCGACAGGCACGGAAATAATGAGATCGGATTTAGCATACACAGGGAAAATACGCTAATTCCTTATAAATGCATAACACATTATCATCATTCAACTAACTTCAAATATAAAAAATCGGTGTGGACGATTTTAGGGAATAATTTGTAAAAAAAGTATAGCAGTTGGCTGTTCATTCAGTCACTTATATATCTATACAGAATTCAAAGGGAACTCAGAATAAAGAAGCAATATTAGCATTTAATCATATTTCACACAAAACCCCAAGAAGTTTGTAGGTAGAATTTTCGTCAAACATCCCTTGATTTGCATGACTTGGATCTGATTGAACGTGAATGCCGACGTAAGATCTTGCAGGATTATAGGGTCTATTTGGAACCCAACGTGTGTAGTCAGCTGGATTTCCATTGGATAAATAATTTTTTTTCGTCTGAAAGTCCAAACAGATTAAAGGTTAAGCAGTAAAGTTGCAAAACTATAAATGCTGCGAATCTTAAATGCCTAAATTCAAAAAACCCTACTCGTTTAACTTTATGAATAGAATCTACTCGGAATGTATATTTTTCCCGTAACTTAAATTTTGTATTAAGTGCAATTTGTAAAAAATATTTATGACGCCAAACTAAAATTTACATATCTCTGAAATGTTTATTATGGCGTCATTATTTTTACTTTGAAATAAAAGCTGTATCGCCAACACGACGGTAAAAACTTGATGCTCATAGCCAATTGAATAAAGCGTGGCAAGCCGAACTACAAAATGCCCTATATTTTCACTCAATGCCCAAAGAGTGCTAATCAATTACGGCAAAATGTCTCATCAAAAGCGCTTCATCATTGATATATTATCTATATGACTATATACCTTACTCATTGTTGAAAGAAATGTATCGAATGTAAATGTGTTTTGGCTGTGTAATACAAAATTAACATATACCACGCCTCCTGCTTTCAAAGTCTTTGCTTTCTCTTCTGAACAATAATTCCTTCTACCATCTTTTCCACAAAGACTTCTTCTGATTGTTATTTATTTTCATGTTTATTTTTCAGAAGTGTTTTCATTATAGCCACTGACTGGTTAAGGGCAAATTTAGCAGACAATACGATATATTCCATTTGGGACAATCCTATCAAATTGATTAAATTTCGGTAATTTGGGCAAAAACTTTTAGTATTAGTTGTAGCCTAAATCGGGTTTAACTGAGATCATTTGAATGAGAACAAAACGAGAATATCGGTCAGAGACCGAAGACTTATCGATCGAAAGTTAGGGGATCCCCAAAACAGCGCTCTTACTTCATAGTGACACCATGTATCCCATCACTAATTAATTAATAACTCGCTAATTATACGACATAATTTATCCAAAATCAATAGGCTTCTGGTCCGAGATATGATGAATGCACTTGCAAATTTGGAGGAGATTCAACCTTGCTTTCGTGAGATATCGTGTCCATCTAACAGACAAACAAACATACAGACAGACAAATACCTATCAACATACTTATCGATAAGTAACGAGTTGGTAAAATAATTCCCAGCTGTTGTGCGCCATTCGCGTCGCAGACCATCGCCAGGGACAAAACATATTATATTGTTTTGATCAGACAATCAAGATTAGATTTTTATCCGTGCTTGAAAGAAGGCCTACATTAGCTTAGGGGCCCAATTTATTATATATATAAAAACGCAACGGTTGGTATAAAAAAAGGCGGCTGGAGAATTAAAACAAAAACTAACAGTATATATATATATCCGTAAAATACCGTAGAATTGTGTTGATCAAGTTCACACTAATATAACAATTGTGTGCTGGAGAAGTCTTTGTATTTGTTATGGGGAGTGAATATCAGGCAATCGGAGTAAAAGGGTGCGATAGAGCTACGGACTGGACCCTCCCATCTGCCTTTACAACGCAACACCAAAACTTACTATTATATTGGCTATAACAGCAGTTCCTTTATAAGTCTTGCGGGTAAAATGAATGCGGAAACGAGTTCTTCATGTATTCTTTTCTATAATCAATTTCGATCTTTGACCCACCCATTACTCATTAAAAAATTTCGACATCTCTGGCCAAGGTACTTGCATCGTCCAAAATTGGCCGTGGCTGCGAATCACCCAATGTATTGTGATTTTACTTGCGCAGCCCCCAAAACGACCCCCCCCCCCCACGCACATTTTTAAATATGGCTTCAAATACTTACACTCGTTTCCAATTCCATTCCCGTCCATATGTAATGATAATTTAGTCCGATGAGGATGCGTGTTCGGATTAAGGCAACCATCCTATAAAAGTGATCTTTGCTGTATATATTTGCAGCATTCCCTCCGATTGCATGACAACTCGCTCTGGCTTCGAATACATTTAGTCGGTTATCGTTTGTGATCAACACGTAACACTTTCCATTGTACACTTCATCGCAATATTCTAAATATACGTGACATTGTCAAGATATATTGAATATATATATCACAGAACTAACGAATTATTAAATAGATATTTTCGTAATATAGAATACAAAACATTATGTTTTTTTACTGTTTGCTTGTAATAAAACTTACTCAATTAATTTTTTATTACAGTTTTGTATCAAACTTGAAATACCCAAGAATATTGTATATATATATATCATACCCAATTCTCTTTTCGTCGAACACGTTCCATGACAAACGTTTAATGCAAAGCAGAAAACGACCACACCAATGAAACTGCAAAATTTCATTTTCATTAACCCTGTATCCACAGGAGTCTATTTTCGAAGAGAACACGATATCTTCTTATGCACTTGGATTTCGTTTCATTTATAGTTTCTATCTTGACACGCTACTTATAGTGTGGTACAATCCTTTTTTTCTATTTTAGGCTGGAAGATTTTTTTCTCCGAGCAGCTTTTTCTCCGGCGTGTGTGTGTGCGCGATTGTTAATAAACTTCCAGTTTATTTATCTGGAATCAAACGGCTTTAATTGATGTTTATCGTCAATTCTATAAATCTAGTTTAATTCACGTCTAAAATAAAATATATTTGAAATGATTTATATTCTAAACTAGAGGTGCCCAACCTTTCTACCCGGCAAACCAATTAAACTAATTGAAAACGCGCTCACGGATGGGAAATAAAATTATAAAATGATTCAAACATAAATGCGGTTGTTTGATATAAATACTTTGCCGTCGAAGGTACAAATAATCACGCAATTACCTTAAAATCCGATCAGTGCATTTGGTCGGGTCAAGACAAAATTTCTCGCGGATCGGCAAAATGACTATGTGTACCAACACCCCTGAGTGGAATATAGGCGGTTGGGAATAACGCTGTAAGTTTTAGAATTTTGAATAGAGGCCATACGAATCAACATCTATTTGAAACAAAAAATTCACTTGAAATTAACTTCAAAATATTTCCACCTGGAAAAGCTCGATGCTAAAGAGATATTTGTTAGAGCCAAATGTGTCCATGCTATGCTAGTTAAGTAATAGGCCTCTTTCATGACGGGACTAGTCGATATTACTCAATTGAGCATTTAGCATAGTTTAATTCCTTTTTGTTTAAGACTACATTGAATTTAGTGTTTTCGATATATACACTTTTATTAAAAATTTGAAATATTGATGCTCCTGGAGAGTATTTGGCGGTCTAATTTCATATCGCGAGAAACTTCACAAAATTACTTCGAATAGTCATGGTACACCGCAGTTTCAAGTAGGTTCAGTTTTGCAGACAAATAACATAACAATAATAGGCAATGGCTATAATTAAAATAAGTGCCATCAAATGGAATAACTTGAAAGGATTTACGCGTATGCGTTATGCTGTATTTGTACAAATCATTTTTGAATTGAATAAACCTTTTGTAAGAAAGGTTATCACGACCAAGTCAGATAAAGATAAGTTTGAGCATACAGATTTCGGTATTTCCAAATCGTACCGACTAAACAAAAGACTTGCTTAGAGTAAAATAAGTTATAAAATGTATATACATGACCACGACGTTGCAACATAAGTGTCTAAAAACGCTGCGTAGTTTTGCCGACTAAAACCTCGTGCAGACAGAATAGCTAGACTTTTGGCGCCTTAAAAGAGCCCAATGTTACAGACAAAGTTTCTTTGTTTTATTTCATATATATTTGACCTGGGGTTATCTTGAGATAGATCAGTCATTGCACTTTGTCGAATGACCGTTCAGGAAATTACTCCCCTCAAGGCGATTTCACCATCTGTTCGTGGGCAGGAATGAGCATGTCAGCGTAAACAAAGTCTGTTATCGGTCTTTTCTTTTTCTCTCGTATTTGTTTGTTTATTATTTCGGATAATTGCCAGTCGGCTGTTTACCATTTATTTCGTGTTAAGAGTTAGCCGTTTGAGTAGTGCTAATTTATTCGCCGCAATGAGCGGATTTGTTTGTTTGTTTCTCAGTTTAATAATAGGGTTTGATTCATTTTGCATATTTCATTTTGTATTTTTATGTTGCTATTGTTTGCATATTCTAGAATGTAGTTAACCTGCCTGTTGGGTTGGTCGTAAACTTTAGCAACCCTCAACACCTCAACAATTGATCATTCGTATTCTACAATGATCATTTGACCTCAATATTGTTGTAATCAATTGATAATTGTACCTCAACATTGCTATATCAATTTATTCGGACTTCTACATTCTACAATACTGGAATCGTTTGTTTTTTATCACCACACAATTACGTATTTCACGTGACTGCAATAGATTTCAATCATATTCAAGTTGTGGAGTTGTTAACATCTAGAAACCAGGCAGGTTATACATAAAAGAAAGTTGATAGCGCGAAGTGTCACCGCCCAACACGTTATAGGCTTCTTGTAGAGCCTCATCATAAGTACTAAGTCGCTTATAATCTACACCCAAGGTCAACGAAATGAGAAAAACAAAATTCCTCTTGACACCAGTTATGTGCTGAAAATTTAGCGAAAACGTGAAAAATCATCTACTATGATAACTTAAGACGCAATCATTCAAGAATATTTCTAAATATAAGGGTTATTACAGGCCCCACGGCATCAATAATAAATCCAGGCCAAAAGCTTGATCTGACATCACATTGATACAAAACTTTTCCGCGATTAAATTGTCTTTTGTGAAACTTGCGTTTGAACAAACACTATCCTCTCAAATGTTAGGAGTAAATTTTCATAATAAAAAAAGAATTTTGTATTCGTTTATTATTATAATATATATTACTGGCATCATATAGTTATTTGGCACAGAAAGGGCTTTCAAATTATGCTGCTGAAATGGTGTTGTTGTTGCAAGGGGAACAAAAGACACCATACTGATATTTTTTCAGTACTCAAGTGTTCAAACCAGGGCTGGGGAGCTGGTTCGAAATCATGATGGCTCCGGCTCCGGAGTCGCAGTGTATTCAATCTTTAGCTCCAACTCCGGCTCCGGAGCTTAATTGTTTTATGCCGGAGCTGGCTCCAGCTCCGGCTCCATAGCCATTATCAGTAGTGCAGCCCAATAACGCATTTTGCTAATTGTTTTCTAAGTGTGGCATGTTATTTAGGCTGTAAACACCCTTCAAGTCGGTGTCATGTTAATTCCTTTTTGTTCCTGCATGTAACTTGTGAATCCACTGAGAGTTATTATATGCTGTATTTTTATATGCGAATCGGTCTACCCAGCATATAAGGGTTTTACATATAACCCCACAATAAGACGGGAAGGAAAATCGGCTTCTGGAATGGTCGCAGCGTTTGCGCATTCGGTAAAATAGCTCATAATGACTTTTTCGACCACATAATATTTAACCCATAATAATTGTCTTTTTATTTTAATTTAATTGTGTTCAACATAACTGGCAATCATGCCAGCCAAATACAATCTGTCGTGGGCCATTCTAAAGCAAAACTTATGGTGTTTTCTGTTTTATTTTTAGTATTTTATAATGTCGCTTTTTAATCAGGAAAATTTGGTTTGCGTATTGACTTCTTTATTTATCTTAGAATTTCATCACCGATGATTATGTAATAACTCGTTTTCTCACAAATATGGTGCGTGACACAAAACATATGTCTTGAGAAATTGTGATTAAGGGAAAAATAAACACTGAAATAAAAGATGTTATGGCCTAATGTTTATGGCGACGAAAACAATTGACGCTTTTCACGAAATGCAACGCACATGTGATAGTAACGGCAATAGCCCTTCAACTCATGATAATTTAAACTGGCCTGACGGGGAGGCAGTATTTTATGGTACAAATTGAATAAGCAGACCCAAAATAATGGAAATTACCATCGTCACCCAATTAGATGCCGTCCCCCTCTCCCAAATCAGGCCAAAAGTTGGTTCTAGAATCGAGGCGTTTTCATAATTATCAGCGATGAGATGTTGAAGATAAATAGAGAAGTCAATTCACAAGCCGAATTTCCACATTGGAGAGTTATTATAAGACACTAAAATGAAACGGAAAACACTATAAACTTTGTTCTAGGAGACTCCCAACAGCTAAAAAAATGCCTTGCTTGTTAATCTCATTTTTTTTGCCTACGACATATTATTTACCGGTTAACTTTGAAAATTACACAGTCACTAAAATAAATCTAAACGCAATCAATCTTACTCGTGATATACCTTTTATATATTCAAAAAATACCAACGGAAATTGATGAGACTTTTCTCCAGAACATGCTATGTTATGGATCAAAACAAGCTATAATGGGGCACTTTGCCATACATTTTTATGATAGGTGACTGCTGCGGTGCATTTTGGAGTAGTTAAACCTTTCTTTCGTCGTAAAACAACTCAATCTCGAGATAAGTTGACCAGAATTGAAGGCATTTGAAATGGATTGGATATTCAACGCCACGAAAAAATCATAATATGTTACATGGAAATTCCAAAATCACTTCTTCGAAAATCCCTGGCCATTAGGGTTTTTGAGCTTGACCGCAATCATGAAAAATTGCAGCTTAGTGGAAATGAGAATCAAAATTTGGATAAAAGCGAACCGCTTCAAATTTTGATACTAAACTTTCAAACATACAGAATAACTGGAAACTTTTTAAAAAATATTAGGAACTAAAATTTTTAAAATGAATTATAAGCTGAACAGAAAAGATTTTATCATTTGTAACGCTATCAGAAAAAAATTATAAATTTGAAAAACAAAAAAATGAGATATTTAGGAGCTGGAGCCACTAAATTTTTGGTAGCTCCAGCTCCGGCTCCAGCTCCATCTGTTATGGAAAGCTTGGCTCCAACTCCGACTCCGGCTCCATCAAAATGTAACGGCTCCATGGCTCCAGGCCTGGTTCAAACTGCCCAATTATTCTTACAAATTTGCTATTATTGCTTTGTGAAAAAAGATTGCCCCATATTAAAACCAGAAGCATAAACTCAACCATTATCATCAAGCTATTTTTGAACTGGTTATGATACTCTTCTTCAAAGGCACATCGTAGTCGGCGGTAACCACCATAACCAACCACATCGCGCGTCGTTTTTTCAGAATGAATGAGATATTGCATGCACCAAAAAATAAACGAGAATCGGTCAGAGACCGAGGACTTATCGGTCGAAAGTTAGGGGATCCCCCAAAACAGCGCCCTTACTCCATAGTGACACCTTGTGTCCCATTACTAATTAATTGATAACTTGCCAATTATACGACATAATTTGTCCAAAATCAATAGGCTTCTGGAGCGAGAGATGATGCATGCACATGCAAAATCTGCAGCAGATCCAATTTCGCTTTCGTGAGATATCGCATGCATCTAACAGATAGACAAACAAACAGACAAATACCTATAAACATACTTACCGATTAAAACTGACAAGTAATAAATACAATCGACACGGAAATTTTGTGATCAGTGTACAGCACATGGGTGCAAGTGTCGACGGATAAAATTCTACATGGATGCAAACGGGCCCGCGGGTGCAAACGTCCGACGAAAAAAATCTATTGTCTCCCGAACGTTGAAGACGCATTCT